CGCATGCAAGTGACTCTTTAGAGACCAGAGATGTGCAGTGACAAGGTGTGTGCACTTAATATTTTAGTAATTATTGTCAAGTTGCTTTCCAAAACACATTGGTCCTAATATACTGAAATTTCTACTACTAGATGGGAAGATATCTATTTATTCTGCTTTTTAATTTGACTTGTGATACTCTTTTCACCAATTTCATGAATAAAACATCACAAATACGAAAGAATGTTTACAGCATGGTTTGTGAGTACAAACAAAGAGAACTGGAAATAATTTAAATATATTAAAAGGAAAAAAGACAAGTAAATAAACTGTAACATGTTCATAAACTAGAATACTAAACAGTCAAAATTAGTGAGCAATATTGAGTTAAAAAAGGAGATTACTAAAGAATACATTAAACAGGATACAGTTTTATAAACTTCAAAAACATGCCAAGTTGATGTATTTTGAGAGGAGAGATATATGCATGGTAAAGTCAAAAAGGAAAGCAAGCGAACATGGCTGGTGTGGCTCAGTGGACTGAGTGCCAGCCTGTGAACCAAAGGGTTGCCAGTTTGATTCCCAGTCAGGGCACATATCTGGGTTGTGGGCATGCGAACCATACATTGGTGTTTCTCTCGCTCACTTCCATCCCCTCTCTCTAGAAATAAATAAGAGAAGAGGGGAAGAAAAGGAAAGCATTAAGTGGGCATTAAGTGTAGGCCACCTTCAGAGAGGGTGTGTCTGAGGGCTGGAGAGTTCCAGATAGCCTGTTTGAGAGATGGAGATTCAGGAGAGCACTGCTTTGCTAAGGCAGCAAAGGAGTGAATGGATCCCTTTCCTCTGGTACAATCTCTGTGTGGCCCGTCATATCTGTCTTTGCTATTAAAGTGTTTGAGAGTGTTGGCTTGTAGGAATGTTATTTTTTTCCTTATAAAAAGTTTTCTGCATTGTTAAACCAAAGAATATGTTTTAAATATGGATGTTTTCCGGGATTGATGCATCTCTGTTAATGATACTTTGGGATGTTTTTGATGACTTTCTTTGTTCTCAGACAATCTTGAAATAGTCACTGTAAAGGAATAATGTGGAACGGTTGTTAGAGAAGAGAACCTGATAAAATGGAAAGAACAGGGGCTTTGGAGCCCAGTAGACTCGGTTCAAAAGTTTGACTTTCCCACTGAATAGCTTATCATCTCCTGTTTGCTCCTTTCTCTTCCTCCTTCCCCCCATCCTGAAGCTATACCTGATCAGCTGTCCAGTATCTAGTATTATCATCTTTGTCACCGTTATTGTTAAAAATCTATAGGGGGTGGTGCTGAAATAAATTTGTAGAGTCCGGAAAAAACAAGGCACTGTGGGTTTCAGAAGGAACCCTGTTCTTTGGCTACAGTCTAAACTGTGTATGTCTCCCCTGTGAAAATTAGTGTGAAAATAGCCAGCGTTGCCTGTGATCCTGTTTTGAAATAGTAGATTTATTGATATATAACGCACTGACCATAAACCTCACCCTTTAAAAGTATTTGTAGTGGTTGATGTTTCGGTGGTTTTAGTAATAATCATAGAGCCGTGCATCCATCACCACTGTCTAATTCCAGAATATTGGAATTAGATATTGGAATATCACCAAAAAGAAATCTACTGCCCGTGAGCAGTTTTCCCCCATTCTTTGCCTTTAGCTTCTAGAACTACTAATTTAGTTTCTTTCTCCATGGATTTGCCCATTCTGGGTATTTCATATAAATGGAATCATACCATTTGTAATCTTTTGTCTCTGGCTTTTTTCACTTAGTGTTGATGTTTTCAAGATTTCACCCATCTTGTATAAGTACGTTCCTTTTTATTGCTGAATAGTATTCAATTATGGATATATAGCACATTGTCCATCCCTCAGTTGATAGACATTTAAATTGTTTCTGTTTTTTGGCAATAGGAAATAATGCTGCTGTGAACATTTGCGTACAAGGTTTTGGGTGGATATTGTTTTCGTTTCCTTAGTTATGCCTCGGTGCAGAATTGCTGGGTCATATTGTAACTCTGAACATTTTGAGGGTCTGTTAAACTGTTTCCAAAGTGGCTGTACTTTTTATATTCTCATCCTAATGTGTGGGATTCCAGTTTCTCCATATTCGTCCCAATACTTGTTATTGGCCAACTTTTTTATTATAGCCATTCTACTGGCTGTGAAATGTTACCTCACTGTGGTTTTAGTTTGCATTTCCCTACCGACTGGTGATGTTGAGCGTCTGCTTCATGTGCTTATTTGCTATTTGTGTATGTTACTTGGAGAGCTTCCTGTTCAAACCCTTTGCTCATTTTAAAATTTGGGATGTGTTTTTGTTGTTGAGTTGTAAGAGAGTTCTTTAGACTATATTTTAAATGCAAGTTCCTTATCAGACATAAAATTTACAAATATTTTCTCCCATTCTGTGGGCTGTCTTTTCACTTGATTGTGTTTCCCCCGAGCCCCCCCAGCCCCCCAGCTTCATCGTCAAATTAAAATGGACAGGTAACATCAGTCAGTTTAAGGTGTACAATGTGTTGATTTTATATACTTACATATCGCAAAGTGATTACCACCATCGCCTTAGCTAACGCCTGCAGCATGTTATTGTAATTGTTTCTTTCTCTTTGTGTGTGTGTGTGTGTATGTGTGTGTGAGAACATTTAAGATTGCCTTTCTTAGTAACTTTCAAGTATATAATACAGTATTAACTATAATCACCGTGTTGCTCATTAGATCCTCAGAACTGGTGGTGTCCTTTGAAGAACAAATGTTTTAAAATTTTGATGAAGTTCAGTTTATCTAATTTTTCCTTTGTCATTTGTGTTTTGGTGTCATATTGAAGAAACCATTGCCTCATCAAAGGTTGAGATTTGTTTGTATGTTTCTTCTAAGAGTTTTGTGGCTTCAAGTCTGTGATGCATTCTGAGTCAATTTTGTACATGATGTGAGACACAGTACCAGCTTCTATTCCTGTGCGTGTGGATTCCAGTTGTCCCGGCACCGCCTACTGAGAATAGTCATTTTTTCCTCCATTCATTTGGTTTTTTGGCACCTTTTCAAAAATCAGGTTATCATAACTGCAGGGGTTTATTTGGGAACTTTCCTAGTGTTTCATTGGTTTGTGTGTCTGTCCTCACGCCAGTGTTACAGGACCCTCGTTCCTGACCTTCGTGGTCAACTCCAAAATCAGGAAGTATGAGTCCTTTTCAGACTTTGTCCTCCTTTCTCAAGATTATTTTGTCACTTACGTGTTTTCTTTTTTAAATTCTCACCCTAGGGCATGTTTACTGATTTTAGAGAGAGAGGGAAGGAGGGAGGGAAGAAGGGAGAGAATGAAATGGGGGGAGAGAAAAACATCAGTGTGAGAGAGAAACATCAGTTGCTTGCCTCCTGCCTGCTTCCCAACCATGGAGTAAACTAAACCCACAACCTAGGCATGTGCCCCGACCAGGGATCGAACCTGCAACCCTTTGGTGTCTGGGACAGTGCTCCACCAACTAAGCTACCTGACTAGGGGTGTATAGCTTTTATTAGCTATCATTTTTGCCCTCAAAGATCTAGATTTAATGATTAATGTGAATATGATACATCTATACAAAAATAAGATTTATAGAGTCATAAGTAATATGAAAAGTAAATTGTACAAGTAACAAACAAATTTTAACATATGAGATCTGTCCAGAAAAAAATCCAACCATTGTTAATATAACAAGAATGGTTTGTGTGACATTGATGTAACCTGGCAGCCAAGGATAATGGACTGTAATGCACATGCGTGAACAAGAGTGACTTCACTGTGCTGGTTGGTAGGGGCAACAGATGCCGGTGAGTGAGCATGTGTGCTGTGTGGCCATCACATTCAAAATAACTGAGTGAGTAGAGCAACGAATCTGCATCAGATGAACATTCATTCATGGAAACTATTCAGATGATTCAGAAGACAGCAACTATGGGCAGCTGGTGATTGGCAACTTCGTTACCACGACACACCTGCTCACACATCACGTCTTGTGCAGAGTATTTGGGTGGAACATCAAATTACCCAGCTGACTCAGCCCCCCTACAGCCCAGATTTGGTGCCCTGTGACTTCAGGCTTTTCCCAAAACTAAAATCACCTTTGAAAGGGAAGAGATTTCAGACTGTCAGTGAGATTCAGAAAAATACGACAGTGGCTGATAGTGATCAGGAGAACTGTGTGAGGTCCCAAGGTGCCCACTTTGAAGGGGACTGAGGTGTCACGGTCCTGTGTACAGTGTTTCTTGTATCTTGTACCTTCGATAAATGTCTCTTTCATATTCCATGGCTGGATACTTTCTGGGCAGGCCTTGTATATATACATGTTAGGAGTTACTTGAGTCTGTAAGATGATGAAGAATGGTAGAGGAAGTCTGGGGCAGGGGGAGAATTTCATCTCGGTTTAAAACAGTTGGAGGGTTAACCAATGAATGCATAACTAGGTGAGCAGCATGTTGATCTCTCTAAAATCAATTTTTAAAACTTTAAAAGAACAGAAGAAAAGCAGATTGGTAGAGGGCAGGGGCTAAAACTTCTCCAGGTCAAGAAGTAGTTCTCATAGGGGTGGTACTATCCCACTTCCAACCGGGGGACTTTGGGAAATGTGTGGACATTTTGCCTTGACCTGGTGTTCAGGACAGCTACTGGCTTTTAGTGGTTAGGGGCTGGGGATGCTGAAGTCCCGCAGTGTGAGTATAGGAATGGTTTTGCCCCAAATCCCAAATCCTAGGAGCTCCCTTGTTAATATATACTTGGGAAGGGAATAGATTTAGCTGTACACAGAGGAAAATAGTGTTTGTCAGCAGTCACTGGTTTCCTTGTTTGTTTTTGCCATTGTAGAGGGTGAACTGGGAAAAGTGTAGTAAGGTAGAGTGGAATATAGCAACAGAGCAGCTCAGGATCTGGTGCAGGAATTTGTATTTGACCAATTTGGATGATTTGAATTATTGTTAACATTTTCTTTTGTCTTACAGTTTTCTTTTCTTTTCTTTCTCTTAGAACGAGCCTCTGACCCCAGGTTATCATGGATTCCCAGCACGGGACAGCCAGGTTGGTATCTGCCATTTACAACTCAGATGATGTTTGTGTATGTGGGTGCGTGTTTATCTAAGGATACTGTGATAGAGAGCATTCACTGAAATTGTTTATTTTAGAAAGTGATATGGTTAATTTCAGCAATTTATATTTAGAGGTAGAAATAAAGTATGTACTGTAGGGCAAAAGTAGGTTTACAGTTGTATGTGAAATAGTTTATTCTTATATTATTCTTATATTATTTTCCATATGAACAGCTGCACACCTCCTTTTGCCCCACCCTGTATGTCTTAATCTTAACAGTAGTGTAATCATCATATTGAATTGGTGGACATTATAGGGGAAAACCACTCACATGCAATCATAATTGCTTTTGTTTTTTCTTCTCCAGGCTATGTAATCACTTTAAACCAGGTTTTCTTGGTGCCTCACAATTCTAAATATTGGACTTGTCTCTTTGTTCTCTGTCACTTTATCCCTGCTTGCACAGATTTTTTGAGTTCTGCAATAATCTGCAACAAGAAAATTCCATTCTCCTCCCTGGGGGAATCAGCCTTATGGTTTTAATCAGGGGAGGCTTGCCGGAGAGGGGGAAGTTTCTGCTCTCTCTCTTTGTTAGATAGGAAGGACGACTGGAGCAAGCCCAGGCCCTGTTGTGGTTTAGGGCAGAACTGCACCCTGCAAGACATCCTCCGTATGGTTTAGGTGAGTGTGTAAAATGCCTCCCCTATCTTTGGCTATTGAAGCTTTGAGCAGATGAGGCCGAAGCGGAGCTAGGGTAGAAGAACAGGTAAGGCTGTGTCAGAGGCACGCAGCTTCAGACAGCAGGCCCCTGAATTGACCTTCTTGCTGTTTGGGGATACCGATATTCTTTAGGAGAGTTGAAAGCGTAGTTCCTAGGAATGTCTTTGAATGCTTATCTACCATTCCTTGTAGAGTTGTCAAAAAAGAAAGTGCCACCATTATTAGGCTTGTCCAAGGGATATGTGAGTACTAAACCAAAGTTGACATAGTTCCCTTTTCCAGAAATTAATAGAATCTCTCCAAAGCCCCTGAAGCTGACTTTTAAAACTAGCATGGCACTGTAATCAACAGTCACCTCGTTGGGGGGCCTCCCCACTTGACAGTAATTGCCCAGTTCTTGCACTGTTGACACTGGGTTGGCATCAGCATGGCCCTAGGTCAGATAAGAACAAAAAGGAAGAGAAAGTATGTTGTTCATCTCCCTGTGGGATCATCAGCACTGGAACTTAAGATCGTCTCTGGAAGTTTTTGGTGAAAGATCTGGCCATTTACCCCAAATCTAAAGAGAAGATCTAGGTTTTTTCTTTCTTTCTTTCTAGCGCGGGTTTGCCTTAGAGCCTCTGTGAGCTGTGAGATTTATGCCTTTTGATAGTAGTTCTATGTCAACACTAGTTCTGTGTACCTCAGAAAAGTGTTGTTGCCTGGAAACCGGGCCTCGGGGCTCTGGTGGAGTGAGGTCCAAGGGCAGGCTCGCTCACCCAGGTGCTGCAGACAAGGCGTGTGGGCCGCCGTGAGGGAGCGACGTTTCCTGGTTCTGTGCTTTTCACGTGTGACCCTTGAAGTATCAGGGATCAGGGCCAGTCTCTTAACCTAGTTGGCATACTAGTACAAGTATTAAATTATTTATGAAGCGTTGCTTATTTTACATGTAGGCTGATTTTAAATATAGGAAGGTAGAACTAATTGAAGTATGGGAACAGACTTACTGAGTTTCAGAGACGCTAAGAGGGTACTGTATGGTAAAATGCCAGCTCTTCTGCGGGGATTACTGATCAATAAGGACCCGAGCACGAGGAATTAAGAGGAATTTGTTAAAGCTCAAAAAGTAGAGTGTTTGCATGGAACTACTTTATTTCTCCTTTCGTTTGCAGCAGGGAACCATCCCCGTAACCTGTACACTCATTACTCGTACTGTCCTGTAGGCCTGTGCAGACCCTTGGCTATGATTTAAAGTTGTTTGTTTACTTTGGGGTACATTCTGATGGTGACAGGTTTATTTTACTTTATTTTCCGGGGCTTTATTTTGTTCTATGGCTAAATCTTTGAATTTGTGATCTTAGAGTGGTGCAAATAGGCAAATATTGCATAGCTGCTTGTTGCGTTTGAGGAATACAGAGTTCATGCGCCTGACCTTGTGAACTCTCACTCTGTGCTCTGAGATTTGGGAGGGATTTGTCAGTGTGGGACACCGGTCACTGAGCGCTCTGAGCTGGGCAGACACAGAGCCTGTGGTCTTTACCTCTCCCCAAGTGGTCTGGCTCGGTGAACCCAGGAACTGGGGAGTGGAGTAAGGGTGAGTTTTAATTGTGTCACTGTTTTAGTTTTAAAGTTCTTTGGTGCTCCTTTGTAAATAGACAGGAGCCATCCTCGGGCAGGATTCCTATCCGCATCTACCGGTGATTTTAAAAGAGGTAAAAATTACAGGTGTTTTGATTGGTGCAGAACACTCACATCAGTGTTTCTCATCTCATCCTCACACCCATCTTTTGAAGTAGGGTATGCAAATACTCCCTTTGGAAAGATAAGGAAACTGAGGCACACAGGGATTACAATGGTTTATCCACGGTAACAATACAGATTAGTAGCTGAGTAAGAAGTAAAATGTGTCTTCAGTTTATTGAAGGCTCTTTCTTGTATCCTGGGAATGAGTGACTCACCCAGGGATAAAGGTGCTCGTGTGCGTGGGTGCCTGCTCACTCCGTTGTACTTGATTTACCACTTGGGGGCTTCGTAGACCCTTTAGAATTCCACCATAGATCTAGGAGTCTATTACCCTTGGTTACAGATGATGACAGCCAAGTTCCCCAGAATGAAGAAGACTAACATTTCACTGTTTTAGTGACCCTTTCCATTCTGTACTGAAGTTCCTGGCAACACATTTGAATTAAAAAACTGCGAAGGGTAGATAGGAGAGAGAAAAGGCACCTGCTGCCTTGTGGAGGTTTTGCTTCGTTATGGAAGGTCCTCTTAGCCTTCTCTCCCGTCCAGTTAACAGGCTTTATGGGATGGCAGTCCATTGCTTTTATGAGGCACTCTGAGCACTTCACTGTGCTTGCTGATGTGGTCTCCCTGTGGAAGTCGGGGAGACAGACATCATTCCCGGACATTCCGAGGTGGAAGTCAGCCCAGGAGGTTGGGTGTCTGCTCTGAGGCTGCGCAGGGCGTTAGGTTGATGGTGTGATGCAGTGCTTTGGGTTGCTACTTGGCTTTCTTTGTGATTCATGTGTGTGTGAGTTCTCAAGTGTTGATTAAGGCTGGAGTGTTTTGTGTAATATGTTTTAAATGAGAGAATATTTGTGTGCATTAGCTCCAGAGTTTTTATATAGGAGGAGCTTAGGAGCAGCAGTCTGATCAGCCCTCGTTCGGCATAGCAAGCATACTGTTTTGCTAGTGTTGTTTGTTTATTTGTGATGGCTTTCAGGGGGCTCCTGGAATGTACAGCGGGGATCCTAAAGCCAGCCCCTTGCCACCTCCTGGTGCCACAACTTTATGTCTGATGTTATTAGGGTGACCTTACAATTTATCATTTAAGTTGGGGCACTTAGAACTTCTGAGAGTGAGAAGGGATGATGCTGTTAAAACAGTCCTAGGCAAACCTGGACGAATGGGATGTACGGTCACTCTAGCTATACACAAAGCAATGAGTGAACCTCCTGTTAACTGAGGTAGTCGGCATGTGGGTTGTGGTGTGGTGCCCACCCCTGTGGGAATGCCACATTGCCGCCCACGTTCAAGGTGAGAGGTAACAGCACAGGTTCTTCATTGGGTTCAGGTGTTGAGTCAGCCGTGGAATTGGGGGTGTTAGTAAGTTATATTTAATAAAAGTGAATGTTTGAAAGGATTTTATTGTTTATAATGTGTGCTTCCTTCCATATATAATCAGTTTTGATCTTCAGTAGCTCTGCCAGGTAAGTTGGTTTTTTTTACCCATATTTATAGGTATGGAAACCCAAGCAGAGATTTTTAAATGAATCTCAAATGTCACATAGATAGTAAGTGGCAAAACTGGACTTGCACCTCGGACTTTCGGCCTCCATGTTTCTTATTTCCCTTTTGTGTTCTTCTGTCCCTGTTCATTCTTTGAACTGGGGACGTTCTCTTGGTAGTGTGTCGAGACATTATGGAGTCTTTGGAGAATATGGCAGTCTAAAAAGTTTTCATATGACCTGGAGGTCCCATAAACAACTTATTTCTGTCAAGTTTTCTTTCTGATTTGTAGAATAGTTTATGGTCCACAGCTTATCTTTTTGTATTTTAAATATAAAGAAAAATTAATGCCATGGTGTCAAGCTCTTTACTTGATCTTTTAAATGCTAAGTCCATGGCTCCCTAAAGTTTTTTCTCTTCAGTATTCTAAAATTCTGTTGAAAAGGCACAGCAGGGACAAGTTCGGATGATTCACTGCAGCAAAGTGGGCGTGCCCAAGGAGAGGTTCCAGCTGACAGATGTTACTCAGATTATTGGAGATTCCAATTCAGAGTGGCAGCCTTTAACTCAGAGGGTAGACTTAAAATGACAAGGGAATATTTTTTCCCAAAATATTTTCCTCTCAAGAATTTTTTTACTTCTCTTTTTCTAACCAGTTTTTCACTTGATCCCTGGAAAGGACTTTATTTTAGTCCAATTTTTTTATAAATGAACCTTCAGGGATTTTAGTTCTTTTGATTGAGAGCCATGGACAATAGCAAATGCATTTTCTTTTATATTCATTTGGTTTGATGGCAAAGAAATAATGGCTCCTTTTCTTCCCTTGGGGAGAGTTAGAGTGAAAGACAGTGAGGATGTTCAAGTTGTTTTTTAATCTAAAACAGGACGGCATCTACTAGTAAGCAATACCATCGTGATTCATTGTACGCATACTCACACATCTCTGTGAGCATAACTTAAAATTAGTTTTACCAAGAAATACTTATTTTTATTATGCTCTGAGCACTGTGATATTTTCCATTCTGTTTCATTCCATTTAAAAAAATTGTTGGTGTGAGCAACAA